CACGGTGGGTCATCGCGTCTTTTTTTTTTTTTCTCACCTGCTCCTTATTTCTGTTTCCTCGGAGGAGTTTGCTGCTGGGTGCGGGCTGGGCCGCTTCCGCTCCCCACGCTGCAGCGGGAGCAGCGCTCCCGACTCCCCGCTCAGGACAGCTGTCTAAAACAAAGTCTTCACTGAAGTCTAGCCTGGCATACAAGGGACCGGCAAAGACTGAGTTTTGTACTGCCAAATACGCACGTGTAAGCGGCTAGACTTTTGCTGCCCGCAGCTCCGCGAGGGAGGTTGTAACTTGGAAGTCCGTATCTACGTCTCCAATAACTGACATATAGCCCTGCTGATCAATACCTCTGTGTTCCTCGGTGTTAGGGGCAAGACTCTCCCAGCTCTTGTTCCGTCTTACATGGGGTTTTAACCCACCTGTTTCATGGCGTGTGCCCCAAATCCCGACCCTGGCACGCGCAGTAGGGCAATCTGCTGCATGGACTGGGCACATCTAAGGTACGAAGTGCTTTCCCCCAACTTTTCTAAGCCCTTACTCCTACCGCAGGGTAGCAAGGTAAGTGGCTGCATAGCTGCTATGAGACAGCAGTAGCCTCTCCATTAGTCTCTGAAACGTCACAGGGACTATTCGTAGTCCAAATCTAAGCTTTCAGAATCGGTATGGGCTGAGAGGCTTGGAAGAGACAGGCAGCCATCAGGGCACTGGCACTAAGGCACCCGATCAGTTAAATCACGTGTAATTGTTCTGGAGTGTGCTTGGACACGATGGGTTTATGCACACCAAGCTCAGCTAGATGGATCTGGTTTCAGACCCAATACACCTAGGCTACCATGTTTACCGTGACTTTGCTGACGCTTGCAGCATCCATAGCAGTTCTCCCACACCTTTCCATAGCTTTTCTGCCGTTTGGAAGTGGTGCTTTTGCCCAGCACGCCCGCGTTTCAGCTCATCAGTTAAATGGGTTTGTCTGCAAAAAGTGCAAGTTTCTCAGTCAGCTGTCTTAACTTCCTCCTCCCACACCGCAAGCAGGTCAGGACGGTGCTACGTGACTGCGAGTCCCAGCTGCCTCCGCGTCCTGTGCACCAGCAGGGCCGAGGGCAGCCGGGGCTGCTGCGGGGGTACTGCCCGCGCCGGCAGCGTTACTCCCTCGTTCCTGCCGGGCTGTCTGGCGTAGAGCGATTGAAGCGTCGAGAAGCCTGTCGATGCTCCTAGGTTAGTGCTAAGAAGTTCAGCAATAGGAGCCGCTGACTGACCTCTCACGCCGTGGCCTCTGCAGTCCCCTCGGGCCTCCCCCCTTCCCCACCAGCCCGCAGCTGGCAGAGACGGGCTGCGGCTAAACAGCCTTTAGCAGGAGCCAGGTTTCCTCGTGCTGTCACAGGGCTGCGAGCGGGGTGGAGAAATCTAGCATTGCTTTATTCAACTGGCCCGCACTCGGCTCCAGGGGTGCTACCAGGTCTCCAGGTGGAGGGAGCGCCGAGTAGCCGAGAGGAGCTCCAGGGAGCCCTACGCGTAGCTCTGGGGCTCAGCAAACTGCACCCGCGGTGGGAAACACAGCCGCCGTTTGTGACCTGTTAGATCTGAGGCCAAAGGGAGTCGGGCCTCAGTGCCGGCGTTTTGCACCTCCCTCCTCGCGC